CGCGGTGCAGCCCGGGTTCCAGGGACGCGGGCTGTGGAGCTAAGGGGAGCGAGGGGTGGGGGTGGGAGTGCTTTGTGAAAAGCCTCAGTGTTGTTTTCGGCCAGAAAGGACAGAATTCCCGGAATCCTGGAGGGCACGGGCTGGAGGGGGCCGGACGGGCTGCTTCGGAGGAAACTGAGGCCGAGCGGCAAGAGGCTTGTTGACCCCAAGTTGCTGTTTGGCCCCCCGTGTTCACAGGGCTCTTTCCAACCTCGAGAGATGACCCTCTTTCTTGGACAGGTTCGTTGGAACCCGTGCTTATTGAATGCCGAGGAGCTAGCGAGATCTTGGAACGGAATGAAAACAGAAAACAGAAGAAGAAGAAAAAAAAAAAGAGTCTGAGCAGGTGCCCTGGTTACAGTTAGGATGCACCCCAACTGGAACAGAGAGGAAAAGGCAGAATAATTTTTTCACTTTATGGAACCCTGGGGATGTCTGGGTTGGAACGGGTCTTAGAAGGCAACCGGGATAATACGCAGCCCTCGATAAAATGAAGACCAGGCTAGGGACATCTCATTCTGCCTCCTCACCAGCTCTCCAGTATGTCTGTGAATTGCTTATCATGTATGCATCCACATTGCTTATCATGTATGCACACTACTGGATTCAGTATTCTTGAAATTTTACATAAATGTTATTTATTCAGCCAGCCCACATCCTCTTTCAGCGTTTAGTTTTCATGGCGGATCATTGTTACTTTGAGATACAGCATGTATAAACGAGTCTATTTATTTGGTCTATTCATTTTGACCGATATATAGTATTTCATTATCCTTTGGGGGAAATGAAAACAAACCTGCTGCCAGGATGCCGCCACACACACATCACAGGCACAGCGGCTCATTGTGCTGTTCACCGGCAAAGGAGTAGTGGGTGGCAGGAGTACCTTCAACTCTCCCAGGCTTCAAACTGCTCACTAGAGAGGAGCCCACTTACCCCACCACCCAAAGCATGACTTAGTGTTTTCATGTCTTAGCCAACGTCTACTGATAAGTGACTTGGAAAATTTGTCAAAAACTTGAATGAGAAATGCAACTCCTCATTATCATTTACATTTGTCTTTATGTTGCCCTCATTAAAGAAATTGTCTTTTTATATTTACAGCACTAACAGATTTCTCACCCTGTGAAGTTTTCTTCATATCCTTTGCCTGTTATGTTGGGTGGTTTTCCTCTCACTGGTTTATTGTGTTTTATCAAAACTACATCCTAGTTATTAAGCCTATCACTCACCAAAAATTTAATGTAACTACTGATGCAGCTACATTTATTTATTTGTTTGTTTGTTTGTTTGTTTGTTTAACGCAGTGCCGAGGCCCAGGGCTTCATGTATGCTAGAACACTGTTCTAACCCTGAGTTAGATCCCCAGCCCTTATTTTTTTTAATTTACATTTATTTATTTAACTTACTTATTCGTGTGCACGTGTGAGTGCCATGGGTGGGAGTTGGGTATGGGTGAGCACCTGTAGAGATCACAACTTTCCAAGAGTCAGTTCACCCCTTTCATCAAGTGAGTTCAGGATTGAACTCAGACCATTAGGCTTGGTAAAGTACACTATGGCATTTCATCATTTCAGTTTGTCTATACAGCACAGATCAGGACAACTGCCTTATTCCTTAGTTCATACCTTTACCGTTTTTTTAGGTTGGAACTACCCCAGATCCTCTTGGCTCAGGCTTCAGCCATGCTAGGCAAGCACTCCACTACCCAGCACCCCCAGCCCTCTGCTGGCTGTTTTGAAATACCCAGTCAACGGGAGCCACAGTTTACTCTGCTTTGCTGTAAGAATACAAAGATGATTCCATTTAAATCTACAGTCTTATGAGTTATTTTCTCTTACAGATGTTCAAAGATTTCTCCGCACCCTGTTTCCCCTGCCTTTTATAGGCTAAGTATATTAGCATTTACTTTGTTGTTTTTTGAGGCAAGAGTCTTACTCTTTGTAACTTAGGCTGGTCTGGAACTCACAGTGCATCCCAGCTAGCCTTCAACAGTAGCGTTATTTATTGCCTTAGCTCCCAAGTGCTGGATTACAGAAGTGGGTTTAGCACCCATGGCAGCATTCTAATTCTAAAGTTACTTTTTGCTTTTCACCATTTACTTACTAGTTACACTTAATTTTAAGTGGTTGCCTTAAGTTATAGAGTATCTAGACAGGTTAGTTTTTTGTCAGTTTGACACAAGTTCCAGTCATTTAGGAAGAGGCGATCTCAATTGAGAAAAAGCCTTCAACCTTCCTAATGCTTACCGCATTTAATACAGTGTGTTTCTGATGGTCTTTGGCCACCTCTGTGAAAGCTTCCTTTCATCCTCCAAAGGGGTCACGAGAACCTTTGAGAACCATTTGAGAACCCCTTTGAGAACCATTGCTAGCAGATTGGCTGGCAGGAAAGGCTGTGGGGCATTTTTTTTTTTTTGATTGATGATTGATATGGGAGGATCCAGCCAATTGTGGGTGATGCCATTTCTGGGCAGGTGGAACTGGGTTGTATAAGAAGGTTGAACTGGGCAGTGGTGGCGCTCGCCTTTAATCCCAACACTCGGGAGGCAGAGGCAGGAGGATCTCTGTGAGTTCAAGGCCAGCCTGGTCTCCAGAGCGAGTGCCAGGATAGGCTCCAAAGCTACACAGAGAAACCCTGACTCGAAAACCAAAACAAACAAACAAAAAAAGAAGGCAGGCAGGTTGAACAAGCCACGAGGTGGCAAGCCAGTAAGCACTAGCTCTCTGTTTCAGTTCTTACTTCCAGGTTCCTACCTTGAGGTCCTGTCCTGACTTCCTTCATGAGGTGTGTAAGCAAAATAAACCATTTTGTTCCCAAGTTACTTATTGGTCATGGTGTTTATATCACTGCAGTAAAAAAGCAAACTAAGAAAGTCGTGCTATGTAGCCCACTCCCTGGCATCAAACCCAGCATCTTCCTGCATCTGTCTTCTGAATGCTAAGATTAGAGGTGTGTCACCATCACAGCTATCATATCCATCCAGCTATGTCTTTCATTAGAACTGTTTCACATGGGCTGGAGAGATGGCTCAGCAGTTAAGAGCACTTGTTGCTCTTGCAGAGAATCTTTTTTAAAAAATTGTGTGTGGGGCTAGGCAGATGGCTCAGTGAGTAAAGACATTTTCCCTCAAGCTTGATAACTGTAGTTTGATCCCTGGGACCCAAATGACAGAAGAAGAGACTCAAGCCCCACAAGTTGTCCTCTGGCCCTCCACACATGCCTCATGGCACCCCCGTAATATATAAATGTGTAAGAACATCTAGAAAATTGTATCTCTACAGAATTTTTTCTTTGCCATTCCCCAAACAATACTGTATAGCAAGAATTAGGTATAACTAATTTAGTGATGATATAAAGTGTAAGAGAGGGCACACATAAGTTCTGTATAAGTACACTGACATTTTAGATGAGAGCCTGAGCATCCACTGGTTTTGGTACTCTCGGGTGTTCTGAAACAACCGTCCTGGGTACCAGGGTGCAGCTGTGTGGGGTGCCATGCCTCTGGGGCCCTGGACTGCATTCCCTTTCACACCTTGCAGGAATGTACTTTTTTCTGTTTCTCGGCATTTTCTTTCTTACACAGGTGTGTTTGTTTCTGTAATTGTATGTACTCTTTGTATTTCCCCTTTCAGGGTTACCAACTGTATATTTAAATATCAGTGTTTTATGTTCTGTAATCAGATGAAATTTTGTTATGAACTTCCCATAGAAAAGATTGCTCTGACCTGTGCCTTGAACTGGTTTTAGAAGCTAAACCAGGCCAGGCCTGGTTAGTACTTGGATGGGAGTGAGGATTGCTTCCCCAAAACACTATTAAATATTTTACATTTCCTTCAGTAAATGGCTATTCTCTTTACAGATTTTTTTGTTTTGTTTTGAGGTTCCACTGTGTATTCCTCTGTCCTGGAACTCAGTTTGTAGACCATACTGGCCTTGAACTCCGAGAGCTGCCTGCCTCTGCAGGGATTTAAGGAATTCACCAACATGCCTGGTTACAAAGACGTTTTATAGGGTCACAATTATAGCTGGAAGCTATGGTTTGCTTTTCAGCAGTACTTTTTAGATTTTTTTTTTTTTTTTTTGAGATTGGATCTCACTTAAGTTGGCCAGGAACTTGCTTTGTAGATTAGGATGACCTTGAACTCAATCCTTCTGCTTCTGTCTCCTGAGTGCTGGGATCACAGCTGCACACCACCTCACCCAGCTATTGATTTTTGTAAATCACTGAAAAAAAAATCTGGATAAAAACTAACCATACCTTCCAGGGTTTTGGGGTTGCCCATTGGACTTCACGCCACAGGGTGAGATGCCTGTATCACAAAGAGGAGGGATTTCCATCTACCTCTCTAGGACCGAGTTCAGTATCTTGGGATCAGGATGACACCTGGATCAGCTACTCACAATCCGCTACTCACAGGCAAACATGGACCCAAGCTGATGGCAGGTTGTGTATCCTCTGCCCCTAATTCCTGTGTAAACACTTTTGTCTCTTTCTTCCTTCCTTCCTTCCTTCCTTCCTTCCTTCCTTCCTTCCTTCCTATGTACCTACCTTCCTATTTTACTGGGTCTCTCTATAGCCCTGGCTATTGCAGAACTCTATGTAGACCAGGGTGGCCTTGAGCTCACAGAGATCCACCTGCTTCTGCCTCTCAGGTGTGGGATTAAAGTTCTGGGCTACTAGGACCTGCTCCTGTATAAACTCCTAAAGCCAGAAGAATGCACCTTCTGCATTAAAAGGTGGCACACTTTTAATCCATTGCTTAGGACTCAAAGGCAGGCAGATCTCTGAGTTATAGGCTGGTCAGGACTAGTGAGACCCTGTCTGAAAAGTAAGTCTAGGCCAAAGTCTGAGCAAAGGAAATAAGGGAAGAAAAAAAAAGGCTAGGAGGGAAGGTGGGAAGAGCATTCTGCTGTGTTCACCAACTGCTGAATGTTTCACCCTGAACCCTAAATACAATCTGGACTCAGACAAGCATGCACTTTTCCTGGTGAGAGCGAGTGACAAAATCTTTTGGCATTTTAGCAAGGTGTCATTGTGGTACCAAATAGCCAGAAAGAAAGGAAGGTTTGACACAGGGTAGTCGCTAGAGAAAGGAAAGCACTTTAATGTTTCTGCCCCAGGGTTCATGCTCCTGAAACTTGAAAGTATGATTTGTTCTTCATCCAAAGAGCTTTTCTGCTTCATAGTGAAGGTTTGTATTGTCCCCTATCATTAAAAAAAAGTTAAAGGGTTGGAAAGACGGCTCAGTGATGAAGAGCATCTGCTGTTTTTCCAGAGGATACAAGTTCCTTTCCCAGCACCCACGTCAGGAGGTTTACAGCCACCCTGACTTCTGCTCTGGAGACTCGGGCACCTTCACTGGGCTGCTTTGGGCACCCGCATATATGTGGCATAAACACAAACATACACAGAAATTAAAAATTACTTAAAAGTAAAAACAGAAAACATTCTTAAATTGGGCATGGTGGCACACACTTTAATCCCAGAACTCAGGAGGCCAAAGCAGGTGGATCTCGAGTTCCATGTCAGCCAATTTTATATAGCTTGTCACAGGGATGCACAGTGAAACCTAGCCTCAAAACAAACAAACAAACAGCACATACACTAAAATTGGAATGATTTGAAGATTAGCATGTCCCCTGAGCATGAATGACATGAAAATTTGTCTTATTTTTTTTTTTTGAGTTTTAAAATTATATTCACCTCTTCATTTTGTGTGTGAGGAGGTACATGGGGAATGAGAGGACGGCTGTGGTGAGTTGGTTCTCTCCTTCCATTACGTGGACCTCAGGATGAGACTCCGTCATCAGGCTTGGGAGCGAGTGCCTTAACCTGCTGAACCATCTTGCTAACCCTTCCCTGTTATTTTACTTTTTGGGTTACTTTCTCCTTTACTTAGATTAAGCAGGTTTCCTTCCTTCCTTTTCTTCTGGGGGGATGTGCACCTGTGCAGCCAGCTTTATTGATGGTATTTAAGAGTTCCCTAAGCCCCTCCTCTTCTTCTGAGGGTCTGGGATGGAAACAGAGAGATCCTGCCAAAATTAAATGAGGTTATGCTGGGATCTCCCCTGGAAGATGGAGATGATCTTCCCAGTGATGACAAGTTTCCCGTTCTCAGCCTTGACTGTGCTATTGAACTTGCCATGGGCAGAGTCACACTGGAACATGGGGCCCTGTTGTTGAGGTCAATGAAGGGGCTATTGATGGCAACAATGTCCACTTTGCCCAAGTTGAAGGCACCCCTGGTAAACAGGTGCCTAATACAACCAAGTCTGTTCCTTCAAGTTTCACCATCATGTCTCAGGGATGAGGCTGGTACTGCACAAGAAGAGAAGATATGGCTGTCTCTGGAGAAGCAGAGAGCCCCCCTCCTCCTTCCTTTCTTTTTGTTTTTAAAGATAGTGTCTCACTGTGTACCCCAGGCTGCCTGGAGCTCAACAGATCCCTCTGCCTGTGGGTGCTGGGAACAGAACTCAGGACCTCTGCTGGAGCACTAAGTGCCCTTAACTGTTGTGGGATGTTTGTCACGGTGTGAAGGTGTGTTGCTGTGATTGGTGTAATAAAAAGCTGGACGGCCGAGAACTAGGTAGGCGTTATAGGTGGGGCGTCTGGGCAGGGAGAGGAAGTAGGAGGTGCATGAGAGATGCCAGGAGACACAGAAGAAGAAGGATGGGTGGCACGTGACAAAACATAAATAAAATGGGTTAGTTTAAGTTACAGGAGCTAGTTAAAAACCAGCCTAAGCTAAGGCCTAGCTTTCATAATTAGTAACAAGTCTCCATGTCATTATTTGTGAGCTGGCGGCCCAAAGGAAAGTCCCACTACACTTAGCCATCTCTTTAGTCCTCTAATTTATGCCTTTAGCATAGATATTTCCATTTCCCATTCTCCCTGTGCTTCATTCCAGGCTCGCTCTTCATCTATCTTCGATGTAACTACAGTTAGCTCTCGGTATTCGTAGGTTTAGACATAACATAGTATACAAAAATAGTCACTATTCCTTAAATAGTATAGTATACCAACTATTTGTATAGCGTTTGTATTGTATTAGATGTCACTAGTATTATTGATGTGATTTAAGTGTCTGGGGGATGTGCATAGGTTATACACAAATGCTTTGGGATAAGGGCTTTAGAACGAGTCCTCCCCAACACTGATGAATGACCATGAGTTTTTTCAGTCATTGTTGATTCTGTTTAATTACTCCATTAAGTTTTTTTCAAGTTCTGTGACTGACTATATGTCCTGGCTAGTTTTATCTCAGTTGACACAAGTTTAAGTTATCTGAAAGGAGGGAACCTTATTTGAGATGCCTCCATAAATGCAACTGTGGGGCATTTTCTTAGTGATTTATGGGTGAGGGCCCAGCCATCCCTGGGCAGGTGGTCCTGGGTTCTATAGGAAGCAGGTGAGCAAGCCACAAGGGGCAAACCAGTAAGCAGCACCCCTCCGTGGACTCTGCATCAGCTCCTACCTCCAGGATCCTGTCCTGTTTGAGTTCCTGTCCTGACTTCTTTCAGCGATGAGCTACAGTGTGGAAGTGTAAGCTGATCAACCCTTTCCTCCTCAGCTTGCTTTTTGGTCATGGTGTTTCATCACAGCAATAGAAACCCTAACAAGACATCAATCATACTTTTACTCCTAGAAATAACTTATTTATTTGTTTATTTTTGCAGCAAGTTCCCATTATGTAACCCCGAGTGGTCTGGAATGCCATATGTAGACCAGGCTGGCCTCAAATTCAGAGATTTACCTACCACTGTTTCCTAATTGCTAGGATTAAAGGTGTGAGCTAGAGGACTGGAGAGAGGGGTCAATGGTTAAGAGCACTGGATGCTCTTCCAGATGTCCTGAGTTCAATTCTCAGCAACCACATGGCGGCTTAGTCACAACCATCTATAGTGGGATCTGATGCACTCTTCTGGCATGCAGATAGAGCACTCATAAAAACAGAAACAAAAAACAAAAAAAGGTGTGGGCTATCATGCCTGTCTAGAAATACTCTTTTTTTTTTTTTTTTTGAAGGTACATTGGGGCATTGGTGGCCACACCTTTAATCCTAGCACTCAGGAGGTAGAGGCAGGCAGATCTCAGTGAGTTCAAGGACAGCCTGGTCTATAGACCCAGTTCCAGGACAGCCAAGGCTACACAGAGAAACCCTGTTTTGAAAAACAAAACAAAAAGGTACATTGTTCATCATAGTATGTTGATATAGTTGATACATGTAATTGAGAATTCCCCATTGTATTTTGATCATATTCCCTCCCCAACTCCTCTCAAATCTACCCCTAATTCCATGCCCACCCAACTTTATGTCCTGAGTTTTAAAAAATCCAGTCCAATTAACACTGTTTATATGACGTTGAGTGTGTGGCCATCCACTGTAGTATGTTTAACCTACTAGGGACCATACCCTTAAAGAAAACCAACTCTCCTTCTGGCAACTGTCTATTACCAACAGCAATTCAGCATTCATGCCCACCTCCTCCTCTATGCTGGGATTTCTGTTTGGCTTGAGCTTTCACACTTCTTGACCATGCTTTCATAACTGTTGTGAATTCATATGTGCAACTGCCTTGCTGGAATTGTTTGTAGTCTTCTACCATCTTTGGCTCTTATAATCCTTCTACCCTCACCCTCTCTTTTACTGTGATCCCTGAACTTTGGTAGGAGAAGAGAGTGATAAGAATGTCTCATTCAGGGCCAAACACTTTATAGTTACTTATTCTCTGCACCTTTACCAAATGCGGGTCTCTGTGTTAATTGCCATACACTCTAAAAGAAAAAAACAAAAAGCTTCTTTGATGAGGTTTGAAAGATACACTAATCTATGAGTATAACACAATAAATCATTAGGAGTCAGTTTAATACTGTGTCCCTTTAGCAGAGTAATAGCAGGTTCTCCCCTAGAGCCTATGACCTATCTAGCTACAGGTTCTTTACCCTGATAATGGTACCAGGTATGGGTTCCAGCTTGTGGAATGGGTCTTAAATCCAATCAGAAAGGGATCATTTGTAGGGAGAATTCCCACATACCTGTAGCGCTCACAAGTACACAGAAGGGATGGGATAAAAGGACTAAAGAGGCTCTCACCCTCTTTCTGGGTGCAGGCCAGTGGGTCTGAGACTGGGCTTCTTGGAGTGCCAATCTGGTTATCAGCTTCTTATGTGAGTATTCCTTCTTAATAAATATACCATTTAATAACCATATCGCATGTTCGATTCTGATCCCTATCAGACATTCATACCACTATTACACCAGGGGACATATCTTACCAGTCTGCTTTTTATTGTAGCTTGTAGGATTCACAGTTGCATATAAGATTGATAATTAAGGTTTGGTGGTTTCTATTGACTATGCATGTTCTACTTTCTGTCTCTGTGCTGTTTGCTTTATACACCCTAAACAAATCATATTATCTTTAGGAATATATATACATATATACATGTACATATACATATACATATACATATATACATACATACATACATACATACATACATACATTACTTTATAGCTCTGACTGTCCTGGGATTCACTGTGTAGACCAGGCTGTCCTAGAATCCACAAAGATCAACCTGCTCCTGCCTCCCAAGTGCTGGGATTAAAGGTGTGAGCTACCATATCTGGCTTTAGGAGTATCTTTATATGAATTTGAGTTCTTGGATATTTATCATGCTTAGTGTTTATTAATGATAGATGGTTTTGTTCTTATTTTTTGAGACAGGGTTTTTCTGTGTAGCCTTGGGTGGCCTCAAACTCTCAGAGATCCACTTGCCTCTGCTTCCTGAGTGCTGGGGTTAAAGGTGTGCGCCATCCCTCTCAGCTGCTTCTGTTTTTGTAATGTGTGATTGTGTGTTTATATTGAGCAGGGTTTGAGGTCTGTATTCTGGTATGGTTCCTCCTGTTGTCCACCCTGCTTCATCTGGAAACTTCAGTTTTATCATTCTCTGTCCAGTTTTTAGGTCCATTTATCAACCCTTTAGATAATGTAAATCCTAACCTGCTAGTTTGGTATTAGCAGATACAAGCTCTGTTTTTTTTCTTCTTTTTTTCTTTTTTTTGTTGCTGTTTTGCTTTTTTAAGACAGGGTTTCTTTGTGTAGCTCTTGTCTGACTGTCCTGGGACTCACTTTATAGACCAAGCTTGAACTCACAGAGATTCACCGCCTAGTTCTGGTTTTGAATTCTCAAGGAGGATATTGCTCATAACCATGGCAAGAGCCCAGTTTGAGATGGACAAGCTTTTGTCATCTGTGACAGCCATGTTGCTCCACAACTTGGATCTCAGTGTAAGAGCTTGCCATTCAGCTCTGCCTAGGAATACCTTTGGGAAATACCTGGGTTTTGATGTTCTGCTTGACAGGGACTGAATAGCTGGGGGTCGGGGCCTGGTCACTTCTGTCCAGTGTAGGATTCCTTCAGTGGGCAGCGTTTGCTCTAGATCACCTTGTTGAGCTGATTGAAACTGCCAGTTCTGCATCCTGTCTGGTTTCCAAACCTGCTTCTTCGCCCCTTCCTTTGACAGATCCTCCCCCTACCTTGTGGCCTGAGATGTAAGCCCTGCTTCCTCTTTCTTTCATCTTCCACAGGTAAACTTCCTGTACTTCAAACTGTCTCAGCATTTGTTTCCCAGAGGACCCACCTTCACATGGTATTATGGTGCCAGGATGTGTTTTTCAACCTTGTGTGTGTTGATGACATGGTGTACAAGGTTTTTGTAGAGTTCAGTTTTGCCTTGTACTTACGGCTGTTCCCTTCTCCAGACCCATCCAACCCCAGGTAGGTACAACAGGGACTTTTATGATTGTAACTTGGGCATACAGTTGTCTTCATTTTGGACATACAGTCTTTCTCTTTCCCTTTATTTATTTATTTATTTTTGTCTTAGCTTTGTATTTGAAAGCATGTTTATTAAGTCTTATTCAGAATTTCAAGATACACACATCAGCAATATGTTTGGGTCATATGGTTCATAATATCTGCATTTATTACTTTACTTAGAAAGTTTTTTAGATTTATTTATATGTATAAGTGTTTTACATGCATGTATGTGTATGTAGTTTTTTTATATTTATGTGTATGAGTGTTTTGCATGCATGCATATGTACAATGTGTATGTTTTGTACTTGTGGAGGTCAGAAGAGGGTGTCAGATTTCCCAGAACTGGAGTTATGGGTGGGTGTGAGCTACCATGAGCATTCTGGGACTTAAACTCGGGTCCTTTGCAGGACCAAGTGCTCCCAACCACTGAGCCATCTCTCCAGTGCCCCTCCCCCACTTGTTTGAAATAGCCTCACTTTGCAGCCCAGACTGGCTTAGAAAGTGGCCTTTAACTCAAAGTGATCCTTCTGCCTCAGCTTCCCAAATGCTGGAATTAATAGATGTGAGCTACCACACTTGATACCCCCACCCCATTTTAAGAATAACAGAAATTATTTGAGAGTATATATTAATATCTAAATGGTCTTTTAATATTTTTTAAACGATCATGTTACATTGTAGGATATTTGTCAGTTACACCCAAATTAGAATTGTCTTACAGTTGTCAATGAAAAAAGGCGGTGTCTTTCTAAGCCTACTGCCTTGTTTTTAAATGGGCAACTTCCACAGACATCTACAAGGTAGGAAAGGGTTGGATAAGGTGACAGATGGTGTCTACACAGGAGTCTTGGAGAAATGCAGGTCTGGTGTCAGCTCCACTGGCAGAGACCAGAGGAGGGTGGATGAGTCTTTGAGCCAAGACCCAAGGGTAGGTAGGAAGGTACCAGGCGAACAGGGTACAAGGGGAAGGTGGATATTGTTCTCAGTGGATGTGGCATGGAGTTTAGAGGAGAGCCACTGGCTCTGTTTGTCTAGGGTGCAAATGGGATTTGGGAAAACACAAAGTGCTATGCTGAGCTTTAGATTTTAACCAGCAGATAATGGAGAATCATTTATCAACCAGGGAGCAATAGTGACCAGGTTTCCCAGGTAGAAGAGTTGCCCTGGAGCAATGTAAGGGATGGAATGGGGCCTCTATGGTAGTGAGATCTTTAGTGATGTAGAAAAGTTAAGTGTTAAAAAACAAAACAAAACAAAACAAAAAAACACATCATAGTTAGGTTGGAGATAATGGCTTAGCAGTTAAAAGCACTTGTTGCCCTTGTACAAGACCTAGTTTGATTTCCAGAACCAGTGTGGTGGTTTACAGATGCCTGAAACTCCAGTTCCAGGGGATCAGATACTCTCTTCTGACTTCAGAGGGCTGCCACACACACGGTATACATGAACTTACATAAACATACACATATACAGAACTTAGTTACTTTCCAGTTTTTTTGTTTGTTTGTTTGTTTTTTTGTTTTTAAACAGGGTATTGCTATGAAAAGGCCTGGCTTACTTGGAACTCACTAGGTTGGCTTTGAATTGCAGTGGCCCTCTTGGTGTGGGCTCAGGGTACTTGATGTTACTGATACGGTTAAAATGCAGCTTGACCCATCTTGTCCTTTGTCATCTGGCAAGGGACACCCAGCCCAGGATGGAGAAATTCTTTATTAGGGAACCATGGCCAGGCTCTGGCTTCTTAGTCTTGCATTGCAGAGTATGTGGATGCATGCAGGAGTGTAGGGGGTGGGGTAGAGCAAAGGCACAGTGAACTGGGAAGGACTCCATGCTGGTTTTCAAATACTGGAGACAGCCAAGGGGGGGAGATGACAGAAGTGAAGAAGGGGTCAAGTTGACAGAGAGTTAGGCATTGTCATGATTCCCCATCATGAACCTGGTAGAACCATCCCTTCTTTCTCATTCTTATGTCCTTCATGGAAAAAAAATGAAAAAAGTGAAAAATAAAAATTTTAATACATCTTTATTCTTAATTATGTGTATCTGTGTGGGAATGTGTGTGCTCATGAGTGCAGATGTCTTCAGGGGCCAGGGGCCTCAGATTCACTGGAGCTAGAATTACAGCAGGCTCACAGCACCTAACATAGGTGCTGGGAATTGAACTTGGATCCTCTAAAAGAGCAGCAGGTACTCTTACTGCTAAGCCATCTCTCTAGCACATTTTTTTTCCCTTTTCTTTAAAAAATTATGACCAAGACAAAAAATACCAAAAGTGTGAGGTAAAATATGAACAGTGATTGGCCCTTGGGTGGCAGGCAGTGTGGCAAAAATGCTACTGGAAGCAGCAAGACAAGGATGCAGCTGGAAGGGTGGGCGGACTCAACAGCGTACATCCATTTTCTTGACATTCCATACTTTTCTCCAAGAGTATCCGGAATACCATCTCAAAATGAACTAAATCATATAAACTTTGCTTACAGTCGGTGGCAAAGTGACCCACACATAGTTCCCGAGGTGGCTACAGTGGTTGAGAAATGGTCTGGAGGTGTTTAGAAGCAGCAGGGAAAATGACCGAATGTCTTAAGAATGGAAGCCATCAAACAGCCTTGGTGCTGGTTAGGTTTTATTTTTAACAGGATGTTTTCTGTTCATTTGTTTTCCAAAATATCAGTTATATCAATATTAGAAGTGTAAACAGGTACAAAATATACAGTACATAGAAACAATCTTCTTAACTAGTCTATTTCTAATAAAAGTACGCAGGAGGGAGCTGAATGGGCACCATGGTCTCTGCCCTCTCAGGGAGTCATCACCCATTTGGGCAAGAGGACCAGTGGCTACTTTAACAAAATGGGAATGGCTGTGTGTGGAGGGACAGCACTGTTATGACAGAAACTTGGACCTAGCTCTAATCCCACTATGAAGATATTCCAGGCCAGCCTGAGAAAGCCACTTACCCAGTTGCCTGGCATTCCAATTACCTCCAAGTGCCTAGTGACGCGGAAACACACGGGGGTGGGGGTGCCAGCTTGAGCTGCCAAGGCAGCTCTTGATGATCTGATCCATTTGTGTGGGACAAATCTTCTTAAGAGGGCAAGACCTCAAACCCTTTCCTCCCCTCAACTGATGGTCCACGAGTGCTGGGGCTCAGTGATGCTCTTCCAAGTTCCTGGAACACACAGCACTCGTGGTGAGAGGCTGTGTCCCCTTTGAGCCCTTTATTTCTTCTCTCAAAAGAAACACCTGTCTAGCTGCTTCCCAAAGCCATGGTAAGGAAATGCAATGTGAGGTGGAACCACTTTGAAAATGAACAGACTACACACTGGGCAGTCAACAGAACACGCCCCAAGATGGATGGCCCTGGCTTTCTGTGACTTCATGTTCGAGGCCCCAGCACCCTCCAGACCTAACACTACTACAGTGGAAGTACCACCTTAGACCGTACCACAGATGGCTCAAAACAGGGGAAAGTCAGGTCTGGGCTTTAGGCATCTTTTCAGAAGGTAAGGGCTGCTTCTAGTGGCGTCCTTACTGCCGAGTGGAAGCTGTCAGTCTAGGCCTCAGTGCCCTCATAACCCAGGGCCTAAGGTCTAGACCAGCAGCCTGTATAGAACAGGAACTCACCTGCCATAGGGCTGTGTGGCCCAAGGCCGTGAGTGACCTGGCCTACTCTTGCCACTGACCACTTTTCCAAACTTAAACAAGATGACACATCCCTGAAAGCCACAAGTACACTCCAGAACTTCAACTGGTGTTGCTGTTTTCCATCTTTTCCCTCAAGAATTAAAGAGAAAAAAACAATAAAAAATGGGTTTGTAATTAAGTTACTTAAGGTCCTACTAAGGTGTTCAGTCTCACAGTCGGAATCCTACACTCTTTAAGGTGGAGGCTGCATTGAGTTTCTTTCCAGTGATCAGTTCAGCAACATGGAAATTTGGCTCTCTGCCAAGTCTCCCTTTTTGCTTCTGAGCTTTCAGGCCACCCTGATGTCTGCACACGGGGCTTTGTACATTTGTGGCTTGCAGGGGCCACAGGAGGGTTGGGGGTCCTCACAGGTCCCCACTACCATCAGTGGGTCCCAGGACACTTAGGCCACAAGTCCAGTCAGTCACAAGGTCTGTGGAGGCCATGGGTCCTTTGGCTGCGGGGCTCTTGAAGGGGTCGGGAGGAACTGGCAGTGGTGGGAGCGGCTGCCCATGAGTGGGTGCCTTGGCCACTGCCGGGTGGTTGCGCTGGTGCTTCCGGAGGTGGTCCTTGCGGATGAAGCTCTTGCCACACACTGTGCAGGTGAAGGGCCGCACGCCCGTGTGCGTTCGGTAGTGGTCGATGAGCTTGGAGCGCTCTGTGAAGCGCTTCTCACACTCGGTGCAGGGAAAGGGGCGCTCGCCCGTGTGCAGCATGCGGTGGCGGATGAGGTGTGCGGGGCGTGTGAAACAGCGGCCACACTCCCCGCACCGCAGGGCGCTACTGTCCCGTGCGCTGCCCCCGCCTCCACTGCCACTCCCGCCTCCAGTAGTGGTGGAAGCTGCCCCTGTGCCGGCCCCGTCGGACAGTCCACAGCTGCGCTGGTGCGCACTCAGGCTCACCTGCAGCTGGAAGCTCTTTCCGCACGTGGCACAGGTGAAGGGCCGGCCTCCGGGCGGCGCTGCTGGGTGCTTCTTCTGCCCCGGCTTGTGGCCAAAGCCTTTTGTCCGGCCGGGGTATTTGCAGGGATCGTTGAAGGGTCTTGGGGCCTGGCTGGGGTCTAAGATGGTATCTCCACTATCAGGAGAGGAGAAAGGGAGCCCCTCGGGAACCGTCCTCGGGTTCAGGCCCACTGGAGGTTTACACCGGAAATTCCAGCCCCACCTGACGCCACTGAAGAGCCAATCCCCGGCTGGGGACTCCTCCTGTGCTATGGCAGGACTGAGCTCACCAATGTCCCTCTCTGGCCGAGTGGGCTCCCGCAGGCCCAGCACTGGGTCCTGGTTGGGGAAGGAGCTGCCTTGGCTTTCCCAAGCTCCTTCCTGGACAGGGCTAGGAAAGAATCTTGCTGCTTGGCCTGGTGCAAACAGAGTCCCATGAGCCTCTATGTCGGTGGCATGCACAGGTGTTGCCACCACTTCCTCTTCCTGGACTTCTGTTTTGATAACAATTTTTACGTCTGCTGAGAAGAGAGAAGAGCAGAGATCATTCTGAACACTTTTAAAGGACAAAAACGGTCAGTGCCTTCATTTGGAAGCGCAGCAGTTGGTCAGCACCATGGAGCACCCCAGATCAAGTGAGCACCCTGTCCTGGTTGTAAGGCTCACCAAAAGCTTCACCTGGCCCGGTGACTTCCCCACAGTAAAAGAAACCCCCAAACTTTGTCCCAGATTCTGTTTTCTGTTTCTTTGGCTGTTAAAATAAATCATGAGTTTATTCTAAGAAAGGGAGTCTGAGTGTGATGGCCATGTACTAAAAATAAGGCAGAAGCACAAATCTGGCCTCTGAGGGAGGCGTCTGGGACTTTGTACAGGGTTAGGCACAGTTCCTAACCACGGCTCCACTGCCAATGCCCAGCTCCACAGGGCTACAAGATTAGCCTGGACACCACATCTAAAGGTACCTCAGCATGCCATCTGGTACACAGTAACTGCAGTTATCTGATGACCAAAACGCTATTGAATGAATAGAACTGTTTGACTTAAAATATATTGAATTTCAACCCCAAGGCCTATTATCAGGGATCTTGAATCTTTAGTGTATTTGGGTGTACGATGGTAAAAGATGACAGAAATTTTAAGGTGACAGATTTCAAACAAGAGAATGTATATAAGAATGTGAGAGTCAGCTGGGCGCACGCCTTTAATCCCAGCAGAGGCAGTCGGATCTCTGTGAGTTTGAGGCCAGCCTAGAGCGAGTTCCAGCACAGCCTCCAAAGCCACAGAGAAACCCTGGCTCAAAAAAAACAAAACAAAACAAAACAAAAAAAAGAATGTGAGAGTTGTTCTTTCCAACTCTGGCTTCCATTGTCTTTGTCAGTACCAATATCTAGGTTGTGGTTTTAGCTTAGTCTGTTGCACCTGTGCCATGGGAGCCACAGGTTGCCTGGGAGGAGGTGGGAAGGCCTGTCCTCCAAGAAATCAGAAAATTATTTGAATAACTCCACATGAAAGGAACTGGCATCTCTAAAAACATGGCATCCTCAAGAAAGGTTGTTCACACCAGAGAGTTCTGAAGGAGAAGAGAGCAGAAGGCACAGGGAGCTGTGGCTGGCAGGGTGGGACAATTCACCAGTAACAACAGGCTCCCAGGCCAGGCATTCACTCTCCTCTCCTGCCCCTCCTGTACCTTCTGTGGATGCTGCTGTGTTGAGCTTCAGTGTCCCATCTGAGCATGCTGAAGAGGGGTGGTGGGGAGGGAGGTCTGCTTGCCAGGAAGTGGGCGGGATGGTGGTTGTAAAGTTGGAATGGACACCTGTAAGGAAGAGAAATCGCAGTCTGTGGGTTGGGGAAGGACGAGGACATGGAGAACAGTGAACATGAAAGCTGAGGGACAAGGGCAGGGTAGTGAAACCTTGGAAGTCCTGTTATGAATGACCATGTGCCTTGGCCTCTCGGAAGTCAATGTCTTTTGCTCCCTTCTCTGGAGCATTGGAAAGTCAGATGTTATCAACTCATTCACCTTTCTCCAACAAGAGGCTATGCCTCAAGGTAGGTTTGAAAAACTGCTTGTCAGGCCAGATTTCTTTTTCTTTTTAAAAAGACTTATTTTTATTTTATACACATGGGTGTTTGTCTGCATGTCTGTGCACCACATGCATGCCTCATACCCTCAGAGGCCAGAAGAGGGCATCAGATTCCCTGTGACAGTTGTTAGCTGCTATGTGGGTGATGGGAATTTAATCTGTGTCCTTGGAAGAGCAGTCAGTGCTCTTTACTAGCAACCCCTAGGCTAGATCTCCTGAGAGCTCACAGCTCCCCAAACACTTTCAGGAACCTTCCCAACCTCTACCCTCAGTCCCTAAAACTCATCCCAGAGTCTGCTCCCCTGTCTCAATTACTTACCAGAGGTAGCATCTGTGGAGATGTCTCCTGCCCCAGAGTCCAACTGGCTGAGGCCCCAGGGCTCTTCCCCAATATCTGGCTGTCCAGCTGCCCAGGCTTCCACACCTAGAGCCTGCTGCTCTTGCAGCTGGAGCTCCCCCTCCTGCTTGATCTGCATCAGGAGGTCAGGGGCAGGAACTGGAGCTCCAGAGCCTAGGAGAAGGAGAGCATGTGAGCCTCTTAGGCCTGAGCTGGATATGTACATGATCAAGGAGAGCCTTAGGGTCTAACAGCACAAGAAAAGATATGGCAGTGGGCGTGTGGGTTGGTGAGAAGGAAGCACACACAGACATGTTCAGGGCTAGAGCTGATCCAAGGGTGAATCCCAGCTGCCCTGGAGTCCTGCTGTCACTTGTATGTAGTACAGGAATGCTTGAACTCTCAACCCCGTCTTAACCCCTCCTTTCTTTTGTTTTGTTTTTTTTCTCTGTATAGCTTTGGAGTCTGTCCTGGAACCCATTTTGTAGACTAGGCTGGCCTCCAACTCACCGGCAATAAAACCCATTATTATTATTATTATTTTCACTATTATTATTTTTGAGAAGGATCCCTCTATGTAGCTGCAGCTGTCCTGAAACTCACCCTGTAGACCAGGCTAGCTTCAAAACAAAAGGCTTTAAAGAGCAGAAGGAAGCTACACCTGTGCTCAGGCCTTAATTCCAGCTCCTTGGCAGGCAGTGGGAGGGATGATAAGCACATTATTGAAGGTTTCCTGAGCAACATTATGAAACCCTGCCTCAAAATAAAAAGTGGGGAGCAAACCAAACAAAGACAGCCGGGGACATAGTGCAGAGGTAGAGAGTACTTGCCTAGCCTGTGTGAAACCCTAGATTTAACCCCCAGTTTGAGACAGAAAGAATCAAGAATGGAATTAGTATATTAGAATAAGGGAAAACAATGTGGAGAGCATTAGATTAATTTACTGAAAAGAATATTAAGCCCGATCATCTCTAGTAAAAATCCTAGGGGAATGGCTTGAGGATGAAAGAAAAAAAAAGGAGTGGGCTGAGGTTAAAATGGTAAAAAGCATACTTCAAATGGTATTCTGAATGAAAGAATCCCTAGAAAAATTACAACTTGTCAAAACTGACCAAAACAGGAACAGAATACCTAAATAATCTTATAAGTAAAATACACTAAATACACTAAATCTGTTGTCTAAAACTTCCAACAAAGAACATTTGAGACCCACATGGCTTCAATGGTGTCTTCTGAATACTCAGAGTCGATCATTCCAGCATCAAGCAGACTTTTGGAGCAAATGGATCCCACATAATGGTTTACATCTTTAATACTAAAAGCAGGAGGAGGCAGTCTAGAGTAGGAAAATTATACTCTAACTGGCGAACAATCAGCATAATAAATCTACAGTGTACAGCAATGCAATGATCATGATTCACTAACGTTGATTCCAGTACTATAAAGTTGGCTTAATTTTAGGAAATCATGTAACTTACTGTAACAGTACACTAATGGAACAAACAAACAAAAAAACATATTGTCTCAATAGATGCCAAAGCCAACAACAAATCCATTCTATAAAACTCTGTAGTCCCTCCTGTTGGATGTTGGAAACCCCTAGCCACCCAGAATAGTACAACTTTTCAGTGGTATTCTCAATGTGGAAAATTCAAAGCAGTCTCTTTAAAATCATGATCATTAGAGTGCCCATTATTGTAGTGAAAATTTTGTTTGTGTTTTAACAGATAAAGCTTGCTTGAAGATCAGAGTGCAGAGCTAAGCCACTAGAGGCCAGGGAGTGGTGGCACACACTTTTAATCCCAACACTAGAGAGGTGGTGCCCATTTCCTACTGAAGCCATTACAGATTTGACACCAGAAAACAAAACATCTTTATTAATTAATGCTGTGATTAATTTCTGAAAATAATTAGACAATTATTAGAAAAGTTATCAGTATTAATGAGAATTTCAGCAAGATTTCTAGAAATGTCAACAAATGAGAGGCAACTGCTTTTTTGTTTCATTTTGGTTTTTTGCTCAAGACAGGTTTTCTCTGTGTAGACCTGGCTGTTCTGGAACTCACTCTGTAGGCCAGGCTTTTTTAGTACACCACTAGTGTTCTAAGGAGCCAATCAATTGCTACTTTTCTTCTGAGGACAGGATCGCCCCTTTTGTCTGAGAGTCTTAACCTGAGACACAATGGAGGAAAGCAGAGAGGCTAAGCTATTTTTATGATGGTAATTCAGACTTCCACTTTCATCTGTGGACAAGAACTTTTTTACAATGACCCTAGTATCAGAAGTTAGCCTGGGCTGGGCTGGAGCCTGTTCCTAGCAGGGACGTTGAGGACATCTGTTTCAGGAGGTGGCCAGTGGCCCGGGGACTATGCTGGTCTAGCTCCTGATTCTCACCTCTCCTTTATAGAGTGCTACTTCACACTATCAGAGACTGGCTGTATGAGGGGCAGAGGACTGAAAATAGCACCTCCACAGAGCTCCTGATGGATGGGTTCCTGTCCCTAGTCTCCATAAATTAGCAATAAACAGAAACTGCCAGTTAAAACAAGATGTCATTAAGCATAGCAATTAAAAAAATAAAAAAAACAAATCACACAAGAAACATAATTAAAGAAAAAGTATAAAACCTTTTGGTCATAAAATTATAAAATCTAATTGAGATATTACAGATGGAATAAGGAAGGCAGATCATCAAGTATAGCATGGCTCTGAGAGTGGAAAGTATCAATACTTTGCAATTTCAAAACCCCACTTGTATTTTTCATGGTACTTGATTAGGCAGTGAAAGTTTCCTCACAACAGTAAAGGAAAAGAACAAAGTACCAAGGTCTCTTCGGCTATTCAACAGAAAACCTAATCCTGCTGTGTTAATGACTTGATTATGTAAAGCAAAGCTTGAAACTTTCAGTAGGAAATACAAGACTTTATGATCTGGAAATGGGGAAACATTTCTTAATTGTTGGAGACACAAAAAGAAATAGACTCATACATGCAGGGAGTACAGTGGGGTGAGAAGCATGTGGGCTTTACAACATAGTACAGAGCACACTGCTTAGCAGAAGAGTACTGCCTATCATATCCATGGTTCTGAGTTCCAGCTCCAGTACACAAAACAGTCAACAAACCACCCCACTCCAAGAGAGTATCAGCACATATACAAAGATTCATATTCATATATGTTAAGAAATCTTACAAATGAATAAGAAAAACAAATAAAGGATCAATAGAAGAACGGCCCACAAACCTCACACGCATCCAAGACCATTTCACTCCCACATGATCACAGACTTTCAAATGAGGCAGGAGGGACCCCACTTTCAGGGACACTGACATTACTGGGTCATTCCCAGGTCTATACTAGAGAAACCTTTACAAATGCCTAAGAATTTTCACAACAGCATGCACTTATAGCAAAACAACCAAGCCAAACCAAAATCTAGAACTAACCCCAAATAACTCAAAACTTAGAAAAAAGTGCAAATACTCCGCAGCAGTAAAAGAAATGAAATGTGTTAGTCATAGAAACTATGAAGTGAAGAATCATGGAAGTGAACTACTAGTTTTCTACAAAAGCACAGAGGGCTCAAGCACAGATGTGAAATGAGAAAAGCAAGTCCAAGAAGGAAATCTGCACCGTGGTACCATCCCTAAGAAGTGTAAAACCAACAATGGCTTTTGGGAACACACACAGAAGATAACAATAAAGAAAGCAGGGAGGGACTGCTCAGTTACACATTTCTGCTTGTTAATAAGAAGGGAAGGGCTGGTCTTGGAAGGACATGGACTCTGGAGGGTCCTGGTGCGGCTCAATTCTCGTGCTGGGTATTGGCTTCACTCTAGATACTTTACCAATCTTGTTTCTGGGTATTTTCTTACTATTATGTGTGATGCAGAAAAACCATATAAAAAGACAAAAGCAACTCTCTATGTTTGATGATAACACTTGTCCACAATAAAAACTTATGGCTAGGAGATGAGATAGAGTACTTGGTGACCATATGCATGCAAGGATCTATACTGGATTCCCACACAACTTCCCCCAAACCATCCAAAACTTTTGGTTAGGTACAAGCAGAAGGAAATGTCCATGGGCATGGTGCTGAAGGCAGTGCCTAGCACTTTGCATATTAGGCGAGAGCTCTATCACTGAGTTATATCCTCAGCCTTTTCTTTTTTAAGACAGGACCTCACAATGGAGCCTCAAATTTCTGATACTCCTGCCTCCTATATGTCATGATTACAGGTGTAAATAAAACCATATTTTATTTAAAATTATATAATAAATCGCCAATTTAATAGGATAGTCTGAAACAATTTTTAAAGACTTATTTATTTATTTATTTATTTTGGTTTTTCGAGACAGGGTTTCTCTGTGTAGCTTTGGAGCCTATCCTGGGACTTGCTCTGGAGACCAGGCTGGCCTTGAACTCACAGAGATCCACCTGCCTCTGTCTCCCGAGTGCTAGGATTAAAGGTGTGCACCACCAACGCCCAAAAGACTTATGTATATGGTGTGTGTCTTTGTGTGGGTATATGCAAGTGAGTACAGGCGTCCTTAGACTGAAGGTTTAGAAGCCAGAAGCACTGCTTCTCTGGAGCTGGAGTAACAGATGTCTGTAAGCTGCCTGACATAGGTGCTCGGAACAGAACTTGGGTCCTCTGGAAGAGCAGCAAGTGGTCTTAACTGTTGAGGCATCTCTCTGGCTCCTTTTGAAGATACTTTTTTTTTTTTTTTTGAGATAGGATTCTCTGTGTAGTAGTCCTGGCTGTTATAGAACTCACTCTGTGGATTAAGCTGGCTTTGAACTCACAGAGATCTGCCTGCCTCCGCCTCCCAAGTGCTGGGATTAAAGGCATGTACCACCACCACCAGGCTAGATACTTTGTGGGTTTTTTTTTTTTTTTTGGAGACAGGGCCTCACTATGAAGCCTTGGCTGGCCTGGATCTTGCTATGTAGACCAGGCTGGCCTCAAACTCAGAGATCTTTGCCTCTCAAGTTCTGGGATGATAGGCATGCTTCACTATGCCGGATCCTTTAGAAGATATTTTAAAGAGAATTCCTAGGGAGGTAATGATGACACACATCTGTAATCGTGAGACTCAGTAGCAGGGCTTCAGATTATTATTATTATTATTATGTTTTTTTTTGAGACAGGGTTTCTCTGTATTGCTT